CAGGTGGAGCCTCTTGCTGTTTTCTGCAGGAGCAACCCAAAAGAGGCTGACAATCTGACGACAGGCAGTTCACGCTGGCAAGCAGAAAGCATGGTGGGGGTTTAGCCAGCAATGGGTACCATGACAAAGGCTTCTGTGATGCTTAATGACCTCAAACCAGAGGCATTTAAGATAACACCGCATCAGCTAAAATAGCGTTCTATTGTCTTGATAACATATGCAACAAAGTTATCTCTGCAGTCCAAACTCAAACAATAACATCAGTTCAGGATAGATGCCCACTATACTCGGATTGATATCAATTAGTGAGTATTGATTGATAATGGTATTGACTGAAAAAGAATATTTAAATTTTGCATTCCTAATGTCCTGCCACAAATTGTGTTATCCTTTCATGATACCTGTGTGACAGCAGACATAAACAAAGGATCAGGATTAGGTTTATGCAGATACCAACCATCTAAAAAATGTCTTAGTCAGCTGTAATCCTGGTCTTTGAGATCAGATCAGGACATCCTTAGTGTCAACTATACACCCTACAACCAGGAGGATGCAGGAATGCCACATGGTTAGCTCATCTGATGTGAAAGATTTACTTTGAGGTGTTACAGAGCAGCAACTACTTTCAAATATGAAGGACAAGGAAGAGTAAATAAAATGGCAAAGACTGCATCCTATGAGTCTATGTTCACTAAAGGTTAAAAGCTGCCATTCAGTATCTTTAATGGAACACAAAACTAGTGCATGCAGGCCTCCTTCCTGTGAATGTCACACGCATTATTTTCCTTTTATTCCAAACTGGGTCTCTCCCTTTTCCTACACAATGTGTTGTAATACTGTCTGCTTCTGTAATCCTATATGAGCACCTGCTTGTTGCCATGTATCAGCCCTCTCTAAAAACTGGTTCAACAAACTATGTGAAAATAAACTTAGATGATATTCAACATAATTGTTAGTTGTAGCTCTAATTTCATGCCACCAAACCAAATAACTCCAATACAAAGAAAGAACCTTCAGAAAGAACCTAAAGTATGTGAACACCCAGCCCCTGAATAAAGAGGTTCTTCAGTTTGTGATGGTGCTAAACAAGAGTCTCCTAAAGTAGCATTTAAACCATCATTTTTCTAAGAGTACATGAAGGCACTAAGAAAAATAATTCAGGGGATATATTCCCACCATTTACCTAAATGTATGGCTGCAAAATAAATAATGTTTTAATTTATTTTGAAAAACCTTTTTAGTTGCAAACCTTATTTTGATTGGTTGTGTCGACATAACAATGTTGGTAGTCGCATCAACTTAATATTATGTGTAAATTAAACTCAAATTTGTTGAAGCAAAGCACAAAAAAGCCAAAAAATACTTAAGAAAATCTAAGCTAGAGCAACTTAAGTTTTCCTTTTTTTTTTTTTTTTGGTAAATGTCCACAATCTTAAAACCTTGTGCTCATAATTCTGGTAATTAAGTATATAATGCTTAAAAACTTGTTTATGTGTAATTTCAAACTCAGATTTGTTGTTTTTACATTAAAGATTGAAATAATCCTGCAGTTCAAAAAGAAGTTAATCAGACATAATTTAGCTGGTAAATGAATAAATTTGTTACATGAATAAAATGTGAAAAGAAAACAAAAAAGCCAAAACTACTGAAGGAAATCACATTGGTACAACTTAATATTATTTATTTTTTAAATTTGCCAACTGAAAAACGTATGCTCATAATTATGGAATTATGGTAATTATGTACATAACACTTTAAAAACTTTTAAATAACAACAAATACTTCTTTGAACAACTTAGTTTTATAAGTAACCAGCTTTAAAGCTTGTGTTTATGCTCCCAATCATTAAACAAGTTGTGCATTAAAAAATACTTTTGATTGTGGGGGAAAAGCTACTTCTTATACCTCATTGCAGTTTGCTGGTTGAACATGATTTCATTAGAAGTTGTCATAACTCAAAAAGTTGATGCAAACTGTTGTGTTAATGTTTTCTGGTGAAGCTGAACATTACTTTTCAGAGTGCAGATGATGCTCTGCCATTCGAACTTATTCTAAAATCTTCTTCTTTATCAACACATGCCTATAATATAGCAGACTTTTTGCATTATGCCTCTGTTCTAATGCTTTTTCAGACTCCAACCTGCAGGCCAAGTCATTTAGCGACGTGCTGGTACACGATCAGAGCTGACAAGAAGAAGAAGAAGCAGCAGCCGCAGCATACTGATGTGTATTCGGAGTGGCTCAGTGCGGTCTGAGGGGAAGAACAGACATCTGCCTTGTAACATTTTGCCTCGTGTCAAAGCGGCGGATCAATAACGGCTGCATCATTAAGCCCCTGTGGTCTATCGATTGCGACGCTGCTGATGTTGGCCTCCCAAGTGCTGAGTGGCACTTTATGGCCACAAGGTGTCTCACCGCCCCTCTGGTGGTAACAGCTCCCTGAAAGGACATGGGGCTTGTCCCTAAACTCTCAAAGTTTTCAGCTGATAGATGACAAATAGAGAGAATTACATGCAACTGATACAAGTTATAGATATTTGAAAGCTACAATGAATAATATTAACAATAAAGATTAAGAATAAAACTTTACAGTTTTTGAGTTATGACAATTTCTAACCAACAAACTATACTGAGTTAGCAGAACTAGCTTTTCCTCTTCATTTAAAAGTATTAATTACTTGATGATTGGTAGCACAACACAAGTTTTTAAGTTGAGCATTCATAAAAAAAAATGAAGTTGTTCCAAAGAGTATTTCACATTATTTAAAAGGATTAAAAGTGTTCTGTGAAAAGAAGTTTTTAAGTTGGCAAAGATTTGAAAAACTAAGTTGCTTCAGGTTGATTTTCTTAAGTCATTTTTTTTAGGTTTTTAGGTTTTTGTTCATATATTAGCTTGAAGAAATGAATTAATTCAACAACACATTTTTGTTTTAAACTGCAATATTTGTACTTAAACCCACAATATATATTTTAAAGTGTATAAACCATACACAAACTATTCTTGTAGATTAATTGTAGCAACTGGACTTGCCTGAGTTCCTTGAAGACGTTTCACCTCTCATCCAAGAGGCTTCATCAGTTCTGACTGACTAGTTGGGACTTCCAGATACTCAGGATCCACATAACGAGGGGGAGGAGCAACAAACCCCCAATGGAAACCGAAACTCAGGTGTTAATGGCTCCTTTTAGGATATAAGTATCTGGAACTCCCAACTAGTCAGTCAGAACTGATGAAGCCTCTTGCATGAGAGGTGAAATGTCTTCAAGGAACTCAAGCAAGTCCAGCTGCTACGATTAATCTACCAGAAAAAGTCTTATGAACGTAATTACATATGCAAATTTTTAAGTAGGCAAATTTAAATAACTAAGTTGATTCACTGTTCAGTAGNTATATTAGCTTGAAGAAATGAATTAATTCAACAACACATTTTTGTTTTAAACTGCAATATTTGTACTTAAACCCACAATATATATTTTAAAGTGTTTAAACCATACACAAACTAGTATTTAAGTGTTATGTCTACAATTTTGGTAGTTAGGTACAAGTTGTAATGTTACCAATTTTGTATTTTTTTTAAATTGCGTTGCTCCAATTAGATTTTCCTGAGTAGTTTGTGGCTTTTGCATGTTTGTGTTCATACAGGAGCTTTAAAAAAATTACTTCAATAGAAAAACATTTTGTGTGAAGATGTCTGTCAGTCATCCAGGTCATGTTTTTTCTGGTAGGTTAATCATAGCAACTGGACTTGCCTGAGTTCCTTGAAGATGCGTCACCTGTCATCCAAGAGGCTTCATCAGTTCTGACTGACAGTTGGGAGTTCCAGATACTCAGGATCCACATAAGGAGGGGGAGGAGCAACAAACCCCCAATGGAAACCGAAACTCAGGTGTTAATGGCTCCTTTTAGGATGTAAGTATCTGGAACTCCCAACTAGTCAGTCAGAACTGATGAAGCCTCTTGGATGACAGGTGGAACGTCTTCAAGGAACTCAGACAAGTCCAGTTGCTACAATTAATCTACCAGAAAAAGTCTTATGAACGTAATTACATATGCAAATTTTTAAGTAGGCAAATTTAAATAACTAAGTTGATTCACTGTTCAGTAGGTATGTGAAGGGGCTTGAAGTTTTGACCTCAAGGTGAAGAAAAATTAAGTTATCAAGTCAATATAATGAAGTTGTCCCAACTTGAATAAATGAACTAATACAGAAATTTGAGTTTAAATTGCACACAATATTAAACTAATGCAAATACCAACATTATGTCAACACAACCTGTCAAAAATAATGTTGGAAACTTTATTTTTTTAACGTAACCTTGTAAACATTTGTGAAAGTCATGGGAACCGGTTCCTTGAATCACTTTTTAGGAGTGTTTGTTTGCCTCTGATTCGAAGGTCATCCTGCCCTGCTCCTCTGGCTGCTGAACTCAAATAATACAAATGCAGGTTATATCAAATCATTAAAAAAAAAAATCTGGCCTGACCTCAACACAAGCTCATATTTTTCACAAACTGCCTGTGCAGGGAAGTTACAACAATGAGCCATACGCAGGCCAAAAGTTCCTGCAAATCCAACTGCAAGAATAGGCAGCATAAACAGACATTTCCTCTGGCTCCTGGCGTTCCACAAACCTCACATGCAGCAGTAAACAGCCAGCAGCAGCTCGCTGAGAGAAATATTAACGTGTTCACTGGGTGAGTGACTTGTGCAATTCATAGGAGCTGAAGGGACTGCAGTGAGGATGTGTCAGAAACAGGTCTAAAAATGAAAAAATGATGCACAAAATTCACTTTATCATGACATCTTTCTGTCACTAAATGGATTATTAGTCAAATGAGAATCTTTATTTGCAGCTTAAAGCTTTGTCACCTTAATTTTCTGTTGCAGAGCTCAGCAGATTTTTAACTTTATTTGCCTCTCAGGCTTATTGGACACTTTTGCAAATCACCTCTCTCTCTCTGCTTGATGCAATATTTCAGAGCCCAGCCCCAAAGAGCCAAATCCGCCCAATCACACGAGCCAATCCTCGGGTTTCATCGCCGCTCCGTGTTTTCCAGGCTGCCCGCGTCTCGTCCCACTCACACTCTCTGTCAGAGCGCGGCGTTGACAGCCACTGGCCACTGATCAGCCCACTTTGTCGGGGTTCGCGTCTCCATGCAAGACTGCTGAAAAAGAAGCTCCCACTTTCTTTTCTTTGCCAGGCAAAAAAAGCAGCCACGACACCGAGCCCGTCCACGGCCAAAAGAAGCACAACAAGTCCATTTTTTTTCTAGACGCATCACTGTCTCGCAGCCCCCCTTTTGCACCATGTCTGGAGAGGACGCACCTGCCCAGCAGCAAAACGCCGTGGACCAGAAGCAGGAGACCAAACCCGCCGAGGAGCCCAAAGCCGAGCCGCCCAAGACCGAGTCCGAGCCCGCCGCTGCCGCCGAGGCTGCTGCCACCCCGGCGGCGACCACCGAGAAGGTCCCCGAGGAGGAGACGTTCACCTACCGCGCACTGGTGCTCACCGGCTACGGGGGCTATGATAAAGTGAAGCTGCAGGTGAAGAAGGGCAAGCCGGCGCTGAAGGCTGGAGAGGTGCTGGTGCGGGTCAAGGCGTGCGGGCTCAACTTCGCGGACCTGATGGCCAGACAGGGGCTGTACGACCGGCTGCCGTCCCCGCCGGTCACCCCGGGGATGGAGTGCTCCGGGGTGGTGGAGGCTGTGGGGGAAGAAGTGACAGACAGAAAAGTAAGCACACCGCTTACACACGCTCTCAGCTGTTCCCTTGTCACATTAAATCTCAATCTGCTGCGTTTGTTTCATTGTTTGAGTGATGATTTTTTCGCTTCATGTTGGGGCTACATCTGGACATGGGCGTGTCAGGCTGTGCTCGCTTCTCATGCAGGGGTGTCTGTGCTGTTCAATGTGTCAGCTTCGTGGTTTAATTAATTTCATGCTAAAATGCTGTTGGGGGCAAACAGTTAACGGAAAACAATGTTGAGATAATATAAAATCAGTTTGTGGTTAATGATTGAGCGGTTTCACTCATGCATTCACTTGTGCGTAAAAAGGAGACATCACTCGTGTAAAAGTTGAAAAGCGCTTTTGTTGCGTTTGTGTTGCATTTTATCTCTGCAGCAGAAGCCAAAAGTGTGTAAATGGCACAAGTTGAGCACAATGCATCCAGCAGCAGGCGTCGCCCCTCTTGTCTTGTCTCTCCTCCCGGTTTTCAAATCGCGCCGCCGCCGGTGCGCACTTGAGATTGAGCAACTTCAAGTGCAACAACAGTTGCTGGCAATGGAGATGGACTCAAGTGTTCGCACCGAAAATGCGTGTCGAAAGTCTAAATCTGAAATAATCCGTGGGTTCTCCTTTCCAGCCGTGCCGCACCTACACTGTGGCTACTGCGCTTTGATGTGCGCCACGGTGCGGAGCGCTGCGTAAAGCTAGCCAAAGGATGAGGGTGGAAGGGAACCCGGCGTGCCTTCAAAATTAAAGCTCGCCTAAGAGTTTACTTCGCGTTTTTATGGAGACAAAAGGGGAGAAAATGAAGATAGAGTCGCAAGATATGAAAACGAGCATGCGTAGAGAGCAGGGAATTGGGGAAATGATAAGATATAACATGACTTAGCGCACTGAATGTAGAAATTCGGTTACTGTAGGCCAGTCGTTGCATGAAATTCTGCACTTGCCATGAATGCAACAGTAAAAATAGCATGTTGGATGACTAATTCCAAGATAAGGGCGCCATCCATGACTAATTCGCTTTACTTTTTTTTTTTGCAAAGTAATAAGGGATTTTATTTTGGAGACAGTGGAAAGATGCCACCGTAATTAATTTGACTTGACACCGGTGACGGAGACCGGAGTCACCGACGCCTTTTGTTACCGGGAGCGTACGGTGGCGCACAAAATGCACCGAATGGAAAGGGCGAGGCACGGTGCGAGGAACGGGCCTCTTTGTCAGCAGACATCGCCTCTGCTGACGAGAAAATGCTCAGAGCCGTCAGTGCATCATGAGTAAAGTTCAAACCAGCGCCTTTTCTGCTCTCAAAGTCAATTAAAAAGTCACAAAGACGCGTTTCTTTAATGTCCAACCACGAGGAGGATTATTAGAGTCCTTCTTAGATTGCATGATGAGTCACGGGCCTATAGCTGCCTCCTGGCATCACCACGGTAACGCCTTTTGAAAGCCAATGAAACTACAATAAGCCCAAATGTTACACACCGGCCAATGATGACTCACGCTTGTTCGTTGTGAGGAGCAACATTTTTTTTTTTTTTTCTCACCAAATTCTGTGGATAACACCACGCTGCTGCTCACATGTGGGGATGCAAGTGCAGAACCCGAGCATCTGGCTGGGAGTGGCACATATGTCTGGATGGATGCAGGGCAGCAGGGACATGACTAACGGCAGGATTGGTGGCAGCAGTGCATCAGGCATCACAGAGGGTCGAGACCTTCTGCGTTTTCTAGAACACTTCTTCCCACATTGTCAGTTGATGCTGATTGGATTTAAAGGTCACACACAACATGCACAAACACACAGCTTGTCATCATAATCCCACCCTTTTTTTTCTTCTTTAGCTTGTAGAATTAAGAGCCAATCTTGCTAATGGATGGAGATCTTTTGGCAGAGGGAATGTGCTGACCCTGATGGCACTGAAATTTTTTGGGAGGATGCTCCATCTGTATCTGCACACATATGCACACAATAGTGGGTGTGTCTGGGAGCACAAAGCTATGAGCACATAATGCTTTTTAATCAGATAATGAAACATAGACATGTCTATTTCTACTTTGATATGAACAATATCCGCTCTGAAGCTCATATCAGTGCAGCTTCAAGCAAAACCCAACCCTGAATATGACTTTTCTGTAACTAAAACTCCTTTCAACCTGCTGCAACAGTGTAAAAAGATGAATGAATGAGCTGGTTTTGATGATTGCTGGGCTTTTTATGATGTAGTTATTCTCTGCGTGCCTCGTATTGTGTGTCAATAACAAGCCTCCCTTCAAGGGACAATGGAGTCGGGTGAAGTAATCCTACAGCGAACTCACCCGAAATGACCTAAGGGAGGGAGTGTGGGGGGAGGAAAGTGTAACAGTGAGTAAGCGAGGGGAGAGCGGAAATATCACAAATCACACCGAAGCTCTCCAGACACCAAACATCAGCACTTTTTTCTCCAGTCCTGCTTTTCTTTTTTTTTCTTTTTTTTGTAATGCTCTCCCTTGGTGAGTTTTTGGAATGATCTGACCCATATGTTCTCCATTACCTCGCTCTGGCCCACATTGTCAGTCTGGTATTTCCTCCATCAATCCTTCCCTCCTTGTATCTATAGCTTCTTGCCTTCGTATAATCTCCTAATTCTTCCTTCGATCGGCGGACTATCAGTAAATCCCCCCCATCAGACTCCGCTGACTTGTCACAGTCGCCGCTGAGAAGAAAATCTTTCTGTTTGTGGCGAATCCGAAGACTGAAAGTGTAGAGTTTATTAATCCAGCTGGAAAAACAAGGTGAAATCTGAGCTGATTTGCATAATCAGAGATTCATTATGCTGTAAAATGTGATTCAAAAGACCTATCCCCCACCACTTAATTAAACGCATGGCTGCAAGATAAATATTTAATGGCTCAGATAAACCTTTTAGGTTATGTTGATGGGTGCCGTTGACTTAATAATGTTTCGTAAATGCATCAGCATCACAATACTGTCATTTCTGCATTAGTTGATTATTTTTTCAGGCTGCAAAGCTATTTGTTGCACAAAAAATTGTTAGAAAGTACTAAAAAAAAAAAAAGTGCCCATCCCAGTTTTCCAGAGCCTATGATTCCGAAATGCTTGAAATACAGAAAGGCAGCAAATCTTTATGTTTGATAAGCTGAAACTAATGACTTTTGGCCATCTTTGTTTGATAAAAGACTTAAACGCTACCTTAAAAGCTTAACCTTCGGTGTAATTTGAACTCAAATTTCTGCATTAGTTGGCTTCAAACTAAATTTGAGTTGAGGTAACTCAATGAAATTGGCTTAATTGTACTTCACCTTGAGGTCAGGTTCCCTTGAGCAACTTTGAAGCAACTTAACCTAAAAATGTGTGCTCATAAATATGATCATTAAGTACATAAAACTTAGAAATCCCTTCAAAATAATGGGAAAGAACTAGATGGAACACTTTAACTTAGATTGTGGTTCTGCTACCAATCATTAAGTAATTAAAAATGCTTTGGATTGAAGAGGAAATCTTAACTCAGTGTAACTTGTTGATTGAACTCCATTTCATTAGAAGTTGTTGCGACTCAAAAAGATGCAAACTGTTGTTGAACATCATGTTTTAGTGTAAAGTGCATAAAGCAGCAGGTCATGTTACTGTGCGTCAGCTGGGCGTGGCCTTTATGTTAAAGCACACGAACACCTTTAGCACCGCAAGCGTTTCCTTCAAATTGCATTTACAGATGCCTCATGAGCTGCGTGGGCGTCACATTTAACCTTCACCTTTTATCTCCAGCTTGACTCATCAACAAATTTATTTTATTTTATTTTTTGTCGAACCTGCTCATTTTTAGCTGACATGGCCAAAGCTCAAAGCCACAAAGCGGCTGACTTGGAGGCCCCGCATACCCCCAAATTGAATCACCATCTGATTAAGTCCATTCACTTACAGTCAACTGAAAGTGTCTTTGTTCGGTGCCCCCGCGCTCCTGACCCCGACCGTGACTGCTGCAACTTGATGCAGCATGAAGGCTGTGAAACGAAACCGAGGGCCCGAGCGCTGCTGTGTGTCACACTGCGAAGATGTTGTAACAGAAGTGTCACAAGGCTTGTTTACTCGGCCTCTGTGTGACTGACAGTAACTCACATGCTCCTGCATGGGCTCGGAAGAATCGCTGCAGATGCGTTTGTGAGTCATGTTTGTTTCCTGTAAGAAGCCCGAGCTCCCCCGCGTATCGATTTGTACCACACTGTAACCCCAATTACACCAGTGAGGCTGATGAGTTTGAAGCCTGTAAAAGAAAAGGGAGATGAAGATGAGCATGAACAACAAAGAGAAGAAGAAGAAGAAGAAGAAAAAGAAGAAGACGCAGCCCACGGTGGAAAAGTGAACCAAATGACTCGGCCCCAGACAGAAAGATGAGGGTATGAAAAGGAAAAAAGAGAGGGAGATCTCTCTAATTGGAGTGGATAGACAGCGAGGCGCATGGCTCCCTCCAGACCATTAGAGAGGCCCGGGTGGAGAGGGTTTGTTCCCAGGAGGAGAGAGCTTGTCTTATGCTCAGCCATGGGGAAAAATCTGGCAGGGACTCTGATGAGTGGAGGGAAGCCAGGGGAGAAGATGGGCCCCATTGTCCTGTCTCGCTGATGAGGAAGAGGGGGACACTCGGCGGTGGTGGCGGCGGAGGACGAAGAAGCAAAGGGATGAGAGACGCAGACTGGACGAAGGGGGAAGGAAGACACTCTAAAGATGTGAGAGGAAAAGGAGTCAGGAAGTGAAAGAGAAAGAAGGGAAGAGAAAAAGTGAGGAGAATGGAAACAGGGAGGGAGGGAGGATAAGAAGGGGGGGGGATGGAGGAAGAAAACAGGAAGAGAGTTATAATGCTGCAGTCGTCTCTGTTTCCTGTGTCCCTCGAGTGAGCCGTCCTGATTGGTCGGTTCGGGCGCCAAGGGGGGAGAGTTTATATCACGGCTCATTCTTCTGGAAGGAGACAGTTGTGAATCGGAGGATCCTGCTTTGATAAGGAGAGCTGGTGATCGAGGGTCGCAGCACGTTGCAACATTCAGCTCGTGAAAGACTAAAATAGACAAAATCTTAACTGCTGAAGAACAAGTTTCCACTATAGTTCAGCTGAGAGGGGAAAAAAAAGGTTATAAATAGTATACAAGAGAAGCAAGTACACTCATGTGCAAAATTACTTTAATGTCAAATGATTTCCGACTTAATCCCTCTCGATAGCTGTAGTATTTCTAAGCTGACAGTTAATTCTTACAAACAATCAAAAACAAACACTTCAGAAAGGCTGTATTGAAATTTAAGGCCCCGAATTAGAAACAACAAAAGTGAACACACTAAACTCTGTCCACCTGTGATTTCCAATCAGCCCAAGTGGCATGAGCATGGTTCTGAAATGAGCCGTCAACACTGGAACTTTCTCAGTTTTGTTTCCATCTGCATGTCTGCATCATGGCTTCACATGACAAAAATAGCCAGAACAATTTAAAAATCTGAGTGTGAGACTTCAAAAGATGAAAAATGGATGGATACATGAAAATCAGCTGAAAATCAGTGAAACACAATGTCAGCAATAATCAGGAGGTATAGAAGGAGCCATAGTACCACTAATCAGAGCTGCTGTGGTCGGTCGTCCTTCTGAAACGATTCCACAGGAGTGATCAATGGAGAACCAGTTTCTATGACAGTGTGGAGGACAGTCTACAATGTTAACGTCTATGGATGTCCTCCAAGAAAAATCTAAACTGCAAGATGAAACTTTTCAGATTAACATGGGGGGAAAAAAGCCAGATGAACATTAGGAGCACGATCTTTGATCAGATAAAATAAAGATAGCTTTGTTCAGCTTAGATGGAGTCCAGCATGTTTAGTGTGAGCCTGACCAGGACTACCACAGTGAATGCATAGTCCTGACAGTGAAACACAGAGTGATGATATGAGGCTGCATGAGTGCAAAAGGTGGAGAGATGACAAGTACCAATGCACCATGAATGTCTGAAGAGAAAACTATGATCTGGACCAGTATTTCACCCTGTTTGAATCAATTAGAAACCTTTTTGGGACATTTAAAGTGAAAGATAGAGTAACCCAAGCCCTTGAGCAAAGAGTAGCTGAAAAAAAGAAGGAAGAATAACAGAACAATCTGGTATCCTCCGTGCTAAGGAGGGTTGAACCTGTCGTCAGAAACAAACGGGAACATATGAAGTATTGGAAAGTGTTTTAAATTTTGTTGCCTTAATATCCTACAGTGGGGCCATTATTTTTATTATAGTAAATGTACTCATTTTAAATACTGTTTGACTTAAAAATTACTGTAGGGTGAAACCATTTTGAATCATTTGACGCTGCGCAGGGTGTACTCACTTTACATTGGCATTGATTTCTGGATTACTTCAATATGTTTTTTTTCCTTCTCACGTTTACATATGATGTAACTTCAAAGCTGGAGAATTAAAAACTGAGCAAAGTAAATCTCTATCTGTCCAAACAGCAAACTGCTCCAAGCCTCTACATTACAAGTTGGGAAACAGCTCTCGTGTTTTGGCACTAATCCTGGCGCATCTTACATGATCCGCTTCCTTTCCTGTCCTTGGTTGTTTTACCGCTTCAGTTTTTGTTTCCTCCATAAAGTCGGCGCAGATTCGGTTACTATTCTTACCCCGCTGTGGGTTGTCACTTTCCTTGTTGACTTCTATTCTTCAAGAGCAAACTCTGAGGTTTTTTTTTTTTTTTGGACAAAGTGGTTGCACGTTTGCATGTCTGCTGTTGTTGTTGGATGCAAAGTGACAAACCTCAATCACTCAGTGGGTATTGTTCACATAAGAAAGCATTGGGCTCAGATAACCGGACATGGCAGCTCCAGCAGTGAATCCTGTTAACTCCAGAACTCAATAGGTCCGTTCACGTATTGCAGGATTCAGCTTTAACTCAATAAAATCGCTTTTGAAAGTGGTTATATACTCCTGCTTATCCATATTGCTGTAATGCTATCAGCGGATATAGCATTGACCTGGAAGCAGAAATAATTAAATAAAGTCTTAGCCTTGGCTTCAGCCCAACTTCAGGGAAAGCTTGGACTATGTTGGAGCTAATGATTGTTTTAAATATGTTTCTTCATTATTTACTCGATTAATTGATTCGTTATCTGGTCTGTAGATGTCAGAAAATGATGAAAAATGCCCATCAGATCCAGCTACAAAGGGAACAGGCTTTACCATTTTTCTCACCCCATGTCTTGCCGTCCTTCCTGTTCCAGGTCGGCGACAAGGTGATGGTGCTGAACCGCTTCGGCCTGTGGCAGGAGGTGGCGGTGGTGCCGGCCAGCCACACCTTCCTCATCCCAGAGGGGATGAGCTTCGAGGAGGCGGCGGCGCTCCCCGTCAACTACATCACCGCCCACATGATGCTGTTCGACTTCGGCAACCTGCGGCCCAACCAGAGCGTCCTGGTCCACGCCGCTGCAGGTACGACGCCACGGTCTCCATCTTCATTTCTGTCAGCCTTAGGTAGAGGATGGATCCGCTGAGGGTCGTTTAACGTGAAATGATGATGTGATTCAATATAAACTGATTAAATATTCATTCGCTGTGGCTGCGGAAGGTTAAATATAAGCGAAGTTTCATCTTAGCTCGAGGCAACCCCGTGATCCTGCTTTGAACTTTGTGTTTCTGTAGTTAGCAGCTGGGTTTAGTATCACTCCAGCGTCTTGTGTAGAGCAATAATTTTGAAATCCCCTGCAAAACTGCAACTCTAAGATTTATATTACTGCATTAAGGAAACACCCAGGAATGTTTTCAGCGTCTTCCTTCCTTCCTTCCCTGTGCCTCCTGTTTATGCATTTCTTTTCTATATGAATTATGACTGCTGGAGAAGGTCCCACTCTTCAGTTGCGTATGAGATGTTGGCTCGCTGTTGCTGCTTTCTTACAGTAACACTGGAGCACCTGCCACCTGCAGAACGAGGTCCGAGTTCAGAGCGAGTGGGTGGGAGGAAAGATGGGGATTGAGGGAGTAAAAGCACCTGTTTTGGGGCGGGAAGCCCGAGAGCATTTGATTTTTCGCTATGTTTACAGAGAATCAGGCCAGCTGGAGAGAATAGGGGGAGCGGATTAGCCAAAAAACTCTCTCACTATCAGCTCTCACTTTCCCCACTTTTATTATGCAGAGGGAACAAAAAGAGATCCCTCGGAGTGTGGGTGTAGTCGGCTGAAAACCCTCGAGAACGTAAAACTGACAAAGAGCTGAGGGAGGCTGCCGGCACAGGTGGACGTATCCCCCCGCTGAAAATGAATGAATCCGTAAGATTAGCACTGAACTGCGTAGCTCTCCCCGGAGCTGAATGATAGCCAGCATAGTTGTGGGACTGGTGGTCTGCGAAAGGAATCCCAAGCGTTTGCATTCATCATATCATCCCGTTGATGTCACCGGTCCCTGCGAACACACACATATTGCCAGTTTGCTATAAGAGGAATGCAGTGGAAGTGTGGTGTAAGACATTTCCCTGCTGGTTGGGTCGAGGCGGCGTCTCTGGTTTCTCAGGGCGGCCTGCCAGCGTCGGCCCGCCAGCTGTCCGGACATCAGGATTGTAAAAGCACAACACTGAGGCTACGACAAAACCATTTGCTCGACAGTCTTGTCTGCGCTCTGTCATTCTTTTGCATGCGTAAATAATTATCTACAACGCTGCTCTGTTAAAGCTGTTAATCGCATAGTAGTATCTGTGAATAAGGTGTTACCAGCGTGAGATGTCTTTCTCTTTAATGCCGTGGAGCTGGAGTCTGTCAGAAATTGCTCCTGATGTTCTCTGATTAGACACATCAAAGGTGTCTGCTGTGACAGGACCGCAGAGGAGAGGCTGTCATTGTTTCTGCCTGCGCTGTCCTTTCAAGTCTGAGATTTCTTTAAGGAAATTGGAGCCAGAGCTGCATGGATTTCTTCCTAATGTGTCCGCTATACACTGTTTGTGAGCTCAACAAGAAAAATTAACGCAACTGCTTGACGTATGACAGCTTCTAATGAAATTATGTTCAACCAACAAGTTAATCTGAGTTGGGAGGAGCAGCTTTTCCTCTACAATCAGATGGATTTTTAATGACAACTTACTTTTTGATTGGTAGCATAAACACAAGTTTTTTACATATATGAAAATATGAAGGTGTTCCAGCGTTCAGTAGGTCGGAGAACAGACTTGAAATCCTAAACCTTAAGGTGAAGAATTCAGTTTTAAATTAGAAATCTTTTATCAAACAAAGAAGACCAGAATGTTTCAGCTTCTTAAATGTAAAGATTTGCGCCTGTTGTTTGCTCCATATCACTGTTCAGACTGAACTACAACCAGCAAGTTCACTGCTCCTAAAAATATGCGTTAGTTGTAGCTTTCCCGTAATGTAATCTAAAGGCACGGTTCCCTTTTTGGCTTTAAATGAAGCAACAGACTGTTTTCCACTGCAGGATCTTGCGAGCAAGTTTAGTGCAGCCTTTTGTGCATGTTCTGTCTCCAAGAACCGTCCCTGTAGAAGCCCTGATAAAGTGCTGTGCGGGTTACAGTTACAGTTTTTGGACAGATATTGCAATATAAATCAGATTTTAGTGGGAATGGACGATTTGTAGCCAACAAGCACGTTCCCTAATGTCTGGAGAAGATGATTTGAAGTCTGCAGTGCTTCATTTATAATGGAAATTTGTGACACATTTAACCTTCAGCAAAACACTTGCAGCTCCTGCGATTGGAGTATTGCACATATTGCAATTTCTATAATATTTCAATTAGTTGCTCGCCACTACTTGAGACCTCTATTTACAATCTGTCCTCTTCTCTTTTATTATCTCCTATTAATAGGTTTGACCCAATAACCCCACAAAGTTTTCCTGTAATGCTCAACGATTTGAGGAGAATATATAATTGCTATTGTTCTGACAGATTCATCATCAGTTCAACATCTGTTGGGTAAAAGACCTAAAACATGATGGATCATCATCACACGAGACACCATCGAAATATTAATAAATCCTCTATATTCTAATGCAAAGATGGGAACTTAACCTCTAAAAACCTGGCAACATCACATTTTGGGTTATATTACCACAGTAGTTAATATTTTTATTTGTTTTTATTTTTTGCTATTTTATCATTGTTGTGTATTTTTTTATTTAAATTTTTTATTATTTTTTTAATTTAAAAAAATTGTGTATTTTTTAAAAATAAAAATAATAAAAAGAAAATTCTTATTTTCTTTATTTAAAATTATTTTTTATTCTCTTTGCTACTTGATCTGATCAAATAGCAAATCAAACAATAGCTCAGGTCTCAAGATGTTAAAGATACAAAGTGCCTCATGCATGTATTTATTACACTTTTTAAATTATATTGGAGATAAAAACCTCCATCACAAAATCTTTGACTGTCTTACGTTCAGTAAAGTATTATTAATATTAAATAAAATAATTCCAATAGGACATCAACAGGACATTTCTGTAAACCATCTCTGATGCTGGAGCAGTTTGGAGCAGGTGTTAGGAGCAGCATCTTTTGTAAGTGTTACACATTTTGCAATCAAAATAAATAAAGAAAACAATGAGAATTAACAAGCCCTGCATCAGACGTCCTGCATAAATGCATTGTTTTGAACTATTATCATCCTCAATAATAATACTTGTGTTTACGCTGAGATTACGTCACACTAACTCATTTTAATATCATTTATTCGACTGTAAAGCATCAATGATTTCTTCTACAGTTAAAATTCCAAAATGTCTTGTTTCTTTTCAAGTGTCTTTCCACGATTTGATCTCCCTTCCACAAGAATTTGGAGTCAAAATAAGTTCTGAGCGACATGCATGACTTGTATTTCAGTTTTGAAACAATAATTACTCTGCCCACAGCTCCAGTGAACACCCCGTTTAAACACACACACAGTCACACATGTGGTTAACTGGCTTCTCTTCACCTCATCAGACTGTCTCGAGACTTCGCAACCGAGGATTGCGCGCCCCAGTCGTATCTCCGACTAAACAGCAGCGATTTCGTGTGTTGCCAGACGTGCCTGCACAACACCGCATTCCTGCCGCATCAGTTTATGTTGAGCAAAGATAAAATAGCGAGCGTTTTCATGAGATTAACTATTTGCCCGGGCCAGGAGCAGCAGCGGCGGCAGCGCAGGAGACGAGCGGTGATTTGTTTTTCACCCCTCAGTCGTGGGTTATTATGATTTAAACCATTTTTATTGAAGGTCCAGATCAACAGCTTCTTATCGTAGACTCTCTGTTTGAAGAGCGATTTTCCTCCACTGCCATAAATCTGTATCTTTCTAGTAAAAATGCTCGCGAGGTTCATCCTGTCTGAAGGCTGACCTGTTTAGTCTCATAATAAGAATTTAATGTAATCACTTTAGAGCAATAATCAGCCTCCTTTCAATTACTTTTAGGTTTCTGTGTCCACATAGGTTTTGCTGTTGAACGGATAATTCATTCTGCATTGATTAGGAAATGCAATATCAGGTTAAACAGGTAGTGAAATTTCTGTCAACGTGGGCAGAGTAGTTCCTAATCTTCTGAACCTGTAATCAAGAAATGTGCATTTTTCGCAACATCAAAAGGCATAAAATTCAATTTCAATGCAGAGATTAGACAATATGGACAACAATTAAAAAGAATGTCAACCAAAATCCTAGAAGAACAACACTGGAGAGATCTCTCTTTGAACCCACAAACAGGGTTGCAGATTTACAACTTCAACCTTCCTATTATCTTTTGGGTCAATTTCACCCCATTCAATGTTTAACATCTCTAAATAAGTCACTGACATAATTTTTCGGTTTTATTTAAAGAGCTATTTACACGTAAGCTTGGGTAAAAATTTGAATTATGATATTTTCTGGAGGTTTACATTGCTGGGGTCAGATTGAACCCAAGGATAAAAGGTGTCAGTACATTTGAAGATAACAGGAGGGTTAACCTTATTCAGGACTTCTGGGGTCTTTTGGACCCTAGGCCATTTGGTTTAGGTGACAGGTATTGTTTTTTTATTTTTTTTAAATATAAAAAGAGGGACATTTATCATGCATTTGGAACCAAAACTACATCAACGTATTAGAAAATGTATTTAACATAGTATAGAAGTCTATAATGAATACCAACACATATTTAGCACGTATTCTTTCTTGGGGTCCAATGGACCCCGAAAGACCTTCTACGTATGGCAGCATGAAAGTCCTGAATAGGGTTAAGGAAACAAAAAGCACAATACATAAAGTAGTATGTTAACTTTCTTTGTGAATTAAATGGATTTCATGAGATGTGCACCAAAAAATAAACCACACCCAGCAGCTATAGGGTAGAACAGATAACCAGCAGAGAATCCAGGAAGTTCATGGTCCTTGCCAAGAAACAGTCCAGAGCTTTGGTTTTTCTACAGATTAAATAAGATGTAACGTATGGCTTTCAGAGGTTTTGGTGGGTAGGTTTAG